TGAACTAAAAAAAACTCCAATTCACCCCTTGAACTCGCCCAAAAAGTTCAAATCCCATTTTTTGCAGGTAAAATTCTGGTCATCGCCACATCCGCCGGTTAGATGCCAACCATGCATCCCACGTGGAAATCTAAGGGGTCAAATAGACCCCTGAACCCGATAAAGTTATTCAATTGACCTCCTCAACCGTTAAAAAGTGCCCAAATTACTATTAAAAAATATGAAATTAAAAAGATGGAAAATAAAAATATAAAATGATATACAAGATCATAATATAAAATATAGATGTCTATATATAATATAATAAGACAATTTTTATATTTTACAGTAAATTATGTATATATATACATATATATAATGAAGGTACTTATTTTTAAATACATACTATAAAAATGTAGTAGTCCGTAGATATTCACATATCATAATTTTTATATTGTATAAAATTTTTATGTTGCATATAATTAGTATGAAGTATAGTACATTAGTACGGAGTATATAATTCTAGAATAAAATAATACAAATATATATATATATAGACATACACATATATGCATGTGTGTGTAATTTTACATATAAATCTAAAACATATGAAAAATATGAAAATAATTTTAATGAATTTCTTTTAGTTTATTTTATATGAATTTACTGTAAATATAAATATATCCTTCTTTTTTGCGGTAAATTCACATAAAACAAAATGAACTGCTTCATTCTCGAAGAGCGGAATACTGAGGAAAGCCTAGCCTTCTTCACTTTCCACTGAGTTATTTTCGTCCGAACAAGAACCGCAGCCGCCAATGAGTAGGTCGGGTCAGCCTCCAGATCTCAAAAAGTGAGCCCATCTTTCTTCTCCTTCTGTTTCATTAAATTTTATGCTATTTGTTTTGCGTGATTATGATTTCTTATCTTAATTGCTTCGGTGGAACTTTTCTCCAAATTATGTAGGTACATGGACAAGAAACTTCAAAGTACGTCGTTTTTCTTCACGCCTCATTCAAATCTTGCTTCCCAATTGTTTAAAACCTGTTATTAGGGTTTATACAATAGTGATTTATGGGTCGGCGGGGATCGAACTTGTGTTTTTTCTTGTTTAATTTCGGTATCATCTCATTACGGAAGCATTACAAGAACCTAGGATAAGCCCTAATTTCAAGAACTTTTGAATAAGTAGCACGTATAGGCATAGCGTTTTTTGCATGCTCCCGTTTATTTGTTTTTTTTTTTTAGTTTAGCATAGTATGATGAATAAGCGAGCATCATATCATAATGCATGTTTCATCTTTACTGAAAATGTGAATAGCTTAAATGGAATACATAAGTTTTAAGAGTGTAGCGCAAAGAGCAAAACTATGAAACACAGATATGAAATGTATAGAAACTTAATGGCCTAAATAGTGAATTCGATTCCTTACTCCAGTTTTTCAATGTACCAATGGTGCAAGTTTTTGTTGCTTTTTTGTAGAAGCAATATCTTTTCGAGTGATATGATAGGATTCTATCTCCATCTTGTTTTCTTATTCTTTCTCCCTACTAGTGAATTTACCACTCCATTCTTGAATAGAAGTTCCCACTTTCCTGTTCTAGATGTCCCAAAATGAAGTTTCCATTTCTATAAAAAAGGAAAAATTCACATAAATAATCCCACCTTTTTCAGTTCTTCCAATATTAATCTCAAATATAAGTATTCTTAAAATAATTTGATTTATACAGGTCATCTTCTCAAATTAAGCCCATGACCGGAACAGAAGAATTCCTCAGGTCACCCGAGAGGTGTTTTAATCTGATTAGACCTCACTCATTTTTACTTTTCCACTTTTCCCCTTCCCTTCTATATTTCTCATTGTCTTCAGCTCTAGTCCGATTTCTCTTCCTTCGTTTCTCTTCTATTCTTCTTCTCTTTGATTAGATCTCCTTTTCCGTCCATTCTTCTTAATTTCTTTTACAAATCCAGTCCTCAGACATCCAACTAAAGGGAAAAACAGAAGAAGAAACCGGAAATAGCCGCAAGAGAACCATCGGACTATCGGAGCCTGGAGAAATACTGTTCCGGCGAGGACCTCAGGATCTCCATTCGATCGTTCAATTAGAAGCAGACTCGGATGCCCTCCCTCGCTCGACCAGTAACAGGATGTTCCTCCATTTCATCTTTGACGAGAGTTACCTTGAAGCAACGAAAGTGCCCACCGTCTTTTCCGCCGCCACCTTCCTTAGCCGGCGATTGAAATTGATTCAAGAAGAAGATGAAAGTGTCGGCAACACCTTTGTTTCCATGTGGATTGAACTATTGTTGTGGTCTAAGACAAATTGTGCAAAAGGAAGATGAACACTTCTTACATGTCTTCTACGATGAAGAAATGAAGAATGAAGATGACGATGCATGGATGGAGTGGATTCAGATACAAAACAATTTTTTTTACCGGTTTAGAGAGTAGCAAGTGATCTAGATCAATGATGGAAGAACACACATGAACTTAGGATTATATTAGAATTACATGTAGTTGGGATTAATATTAGAAGAACATGAAAAGGTTGGATTATTCTTGTGAATTTTTCCTATAAAAAAAGTTTTAGTTGGAAATTTCACTATTACGCTTACTTTTTACTCACTTTTTGTTTTATGTGCATAAAGTAAGGGTGTATATACCCAATAGAAAGTCAAAACAAAACTTTATCTTAGCGCAAGTCAAATGACAACTTCTGTGCGGGACGGAGTGAGTTGTAGAATTGAGGATTTTAGCTGCTCTAGTGAATAGTAAAATAGTTTACATTATACAAATCAATTTTAATATTGGGTCGCTCCGTTCTGAGGATTTAAATTCCACATACCTTAAATACATCGATTCTATATTTCTTCGTGCATCGGATGGATTCTCGTGTTTCTGCATTATCTTTCTCACCCAGTTTTTACTATTCTAAAAAAAGCCTTTGGGGTTCAACTTGAACTATTTCTGGTTTTAGGTGAAGTTCTTATATGTGGCCAGAATGGGAATTGTTGAATGTTTATGTCTTTTGGTATATTAGATAGCAAATCTTACTAATTAATTTACTTTTCTTTTTCTGTGCGGCTGTGCCTCATCAAATGCCCCTCCTTAGTTTTCTCTTATAATGTTTCATTTTTATAAGTGAGTGAATGTAACAATTGCTCCAAAAGTCCACATTATCAAATTACAATGTATAATTTTTTAACACCCAAATTTGTAAGCTCATCGTGTATTATATTAATGATTTTAAAAATGCAGCATACAGGAAGAACCCCATAGGCTCCCTATAACTTCCCAAGTAAAAAGGAACTAGAATGCCCAAGTAAACAAGTCATTTGTTTTAAGTTTTAACCTTTAAGATCTAGTTTCTTTGAGCAATTATATGTCTAAAAAAGCATTTTTCTAGTTGTTTTTTAATGTTTGATGGGACTTGATTAAGATCCATGCTTGGAGTAATCCAATTGTGATTGTATGATATATCTAACTTATGGTACAGTTAAGTTGAATGCCAATCGCATGGTTGTTGGGACTCTCCGCGGGTTTGATCAGTTCATGAATTTGGTCATTGAAAACACTGAGGAAGTCAATGGCAATGAAACGAATGATATTGGCATGGTGGTTAGTAGTGTTCCTTTTTAGTATCCTCCTTGTTATTGAGATACTTATAATGAATGGACTGCCACTATCTTTATCAAGTTTAACCGTTTGCTATTTATTGTTTGAAAATACGTTTGTAAAAGTTTTCAACTACCATTTTTTTCTTCAGGTTATTCGAGGAAACAGCGTAGTAACCATTGAAGCATTGGAACCAGTTGCCAGATCGTAGGTTGCGACTGCTACCGCACTTATCATTTGATGTATGTACCAATTGCGTAGTACACTTGAACATTTGAAGCAAAAGCAATCGTGCGACTGAGCTGTGTTTTGATGATTATGTGCTCAGCAAACACAATTGTTCATGATGCATATCTAGATCTACTTACGTATCTGTATATGGCATCTGCCGGATATACCTTTAGCTCTGCTTAAAAAGTTTGGGTCCGGATCCAGTTCCGGATGGCTGTTGATTGGTTAGAAATGAACCTAAGCTGTCTCCAACTCACATTTTTTAAGTGAATTTGAAACACTATGTAATCACAATGTCATTCCATACATAATAATTATTCAAACATACATACTTCAAACTCAAAACTTTCAAATGTCAAAAACCTATATATTTTATAACATATTTCAAACATATTCACCTTACACCCGCTTGAGTCTTGACCTTGTCCATGAAGTGTTATTCTGCACATTTGACTGCAGTATCCTTTGCTGAGCTTAGATTTTGCAATTTTCCTTTTTAGGGCTTCTTGATTGTAACATATTTCCCTATATTTTTTTTATTCATTCTCTATATCATATGGGGCAACATTTCATTATTATTATGCCCACAGCTTGAGAGACTATATAAATATCTATAATTGTACAGAAAATATAGTACTACGTATACAGTATTACCTAATCAATCTTCAATTTATTCGTTTTGGAATATTAGATGTTTTTTATTGAGATATAACCATTTAACCCGATGAGGAAGGGTAGAACCGTATAAGTGAGAGATTAGTTTTCCAGAGCTCTTTAAATTTCTGCTATGGTTGTTGTAACACGTAGCATTGTGAAATACTCCGTAGTTTTCTCTAGACTCTAGAGGAATTAGAGTTTGTACTTGTTTTCCAATTTCACAATCTATTTTCAATTTTACACCTTAAATTTAAAACTCACATTCTATTTTTCTTCTAACATGGAGTTTCCTCTTTTATTTTTTGTTAACATTTATTTTTTTAACTTCGGGTGCAAATGAAACCTAATACCAAAAGAAGTTTGTGTCAAATGTTTTATTTTTTTTGTCAAATCTCGTTGCCTTTACAACTTAAGCTGATGGTATTCAACTTGATGAATGGCCCACATTGCGTTTAGAAAATAAAAATAAGGAACCTAATGGAATAACAATATAAGCACTCTTCTCCTGTGTTTAATCTGAAGCAAACAAATGAGGAACAAAGTAGTAAAAGAAAATTAACAGTAGCACAACTGATCCTCCACAAATGAAGTACAATGTTTACAATCTCTTCTTATGAGCAAGTTGTATGTGGTAATACAACATTTGGTTCCAAGTATCAGGAACCCCTGGGAGACACCAATGGCTGCAATCTTGTACACCGTTAGAATATCTACTTCCATAAATGGATGGGTGACCGTCTATCCTATAACCGGACAAACCGGTTATGTTTAGAATGGTGACAGGAGTTTTCATCTCCGTTATGACCTCTTCCACAATCCTGTTCTTCTCGAGGTAACTGCTGCTGCTATGGCTCTCGTTAAGGGGACGTGAAGCGTCTCCACAATGTCCACCACTATTCCATCGACCACCACTATCCAATTATACAACTGACATATTATCAACACAATAAGAATATCGCTAGGACGAAAACTATGACACTAGTTTACTCTTACTCAAGGAAATCTCCCTACCGAATATGAATGCACTTGCAGTGCTCACAAGTCACAACACACCTGAAATGAGAAGGAGAAGATGCTCTGAAGAAAACTTGAGTCTTTGCGGGGTTGATGTATGTGTCGACCCATGATGCCCAGGTCGTTAGGGCTCTTCGGTAAGCTATTGAAACATCAAGGTGTTCATGAACTTGATCCCCTTCCTGATAATAATTCATCCTGCTAATTCAATACAGACTAGTAAACCATTATTTGATACATACAATTTATAATCAGATTATGGTCTAGTGGCGGAGATGGTTTTACCTTAGACTCTTAGAGCTTTGTAAAATTATTAAACCATCTCATACATATCACAAATAACGAACGATACTAAATTATATGCCTTGAGCTACTTTATTTAAATATTTATACTGCGAACCTTAATATGATATACTCCGTAAAATTTAATTATGTTTAAGCGAGAAATCGACTCGAGTCACAACTTTACGTGATATCTTATGCTACCCTACCCCAAACTTGGCGAGAGTACACAAGGTAAGGATGGACTCGGGCCGGTTCGGGCCTGGGCCTGGCCGGGCCACGGTTCAGGAAAGGGAGGCCCGGAACCGGCCCGGGTAACCCCCGGGTCCGGTTCGGGCCGGGCCGGGCCGGGCCTCGGTCCATTTTTTTTGGCTTCTCCTAATTAACTCCCAACCCTCCCCCCTCACCCCCAAACCTCCCCAAGGCCCAAACCATTTCAAATGACCCAAAATACCCAGCCCATCCCAAAAATTTTAAAAACAAAATTAAATTTGGCCCAGACCGGGCCTGAACCGGCCGGGCCGCTTCACCATTCCTAGGGCCCGAGCCCGAACCGTATGACTAGCGGGCCGGGTCGACCCGAACCGCCCTATGGCCCGGTTCCCGGGCCGGGCCGGTTCCGGGGCAGGCCGCCCGGCCCGAGTCCATCCCTAACACAAGGTGAAATGTGTTATTTTGTATTTTGATGTATGACTTTTGAGCGTATTTATAACGAAAATGGTACACACTATTTGCATACTATCTTAGCATTATCCTTTTTTTTATACAATGAACATGAACCCTAAGAGGTAACAAGTAAGAATAGTACAAAATGAGTATTAAGAATCAATTAATGAAATAATTCATAAGCTAGATGAGATACCCTGCTTTAGTTTTGTAATGTGTCCACCAACTAGCAGTGTTGAAGACCAAAATATCAGCACCCATCCATGTAGATGAACCTTTGTCAATTGAATCAATACGCAAAGTCTGTCCTTGTTTCTTCCCAATCCACGCCCTACTCTCCCGAACCAAAAAATGTGTCACGTAGAATTCAACGGTGCATTTATAGTCCTAATCAAGAGGCACTGTTAATTAATTTATAAATATAATTTCAGCTAAAAATTCAACCGGGAATATAATTTGCAGTTATCTAAAATTTGAGATATATATATTACAAATGCCACCCATGAGTCGTGATCGCTTTTAAGTCAACCCAATACTCGAGCATATCATTGTTATGTTTTTTCTCTCGAAATATGAGTCGTGACTTCCATGATTGAAAAAAACCGTTATAAATGACACTAAATATTGTCAATTTGTCATGTTAATGCTTAGTACTACAACTGTTTCGACAGTAATGACTACATGGTGATATTAAACACTATCACGCGTGTGACTCGTATTTCGGGAAAAAAACATGACTGTCCTACTTTAGAATTCCAAAACTTGTTTACTAGCTACTCCTTATTTAAAAACTTTAATTTCCCTTGCATATATATATGCATGGACTTACCACAAACTTGAAACAATAGTTCCCATTCTCTTTGGTTATTCTTCGACCATGGGTCTCATAAACTTTGCTTTGATCTTTGACAGCTCCCATCAACAAGCACAACATGGATTCCCACTGGTTCCTGTTAATGGAATCCCCAACGAATACTACTCTTTTGCCTCTCATCAACTCCAACATGTGGGTGGCATTGAACCTATAAAATGATCAGTAGTTCAGTACTTTATTCCACCGATAAAGTCGTTGATTTATCGCTATAAAGACATACGGACTAAATTGTTGTTATGACTTAAAAAGCACTCGGCCGGGTGGAACCGAAACTCAAATAACGACTTTGGACTGACCTTAAAGATGTCACCGCTCTCGATTTTTTCTCTTTTGATGCCCGAACCAAACTCGAAAAATCGAGCTCACTCATAGTCCCTAAAAGGACAGGCCAATACCCAAAAAATTTATCCTTATTTATTCCTATGTATCTCAAGTGCATGAAATATATTATTACGTAAAACAAATTGGTAGATTCTATGGTTACCATACCTTTGTCCACATAGACCAATGAGAATGTTGCTGTTGAATTTTTTAAATCTAAATTAAAAATGATAAATTGATGTGGTCCAATCAAATGAATGATAGATATGGTACCTCATTTTTTAAAAGGGTATCGGAGTTGTCACCAAACAAATTATGTTGTTTGGAACTTTGGATTTGAATTGTTGATGATTTTGGAGAGAGTTATTTGTATTTCTAAGTAATTTTATTTAAAACAAAATTGAAAATACAAAAGGACAATGGAATGATTTCGAGCTTGTGTGGCCTTAACCGGCCTTACTTAATTGAATCTCGTCTACCAGAAACCCAACTAAGACCAAAATCTCTATAATCCGAAATCGAGTAATTTTTGGATTCAACAAAAACACGATCTTTATTCGAACGATGCATGTCAAATTTTAAAAATAAAATAAAATAAATAATAAATAAATAATAAATATAAAATAAAATTATAAATAAAATACATGTCTAAAATATAAGATATATTAATATGAAATATTTATCGTTCACAGTTATTTCAAAATAAAAAGTAAAATATACACTAAAAAAACTTAAAGTTTATTTCCATACTTTATAGCTACTATGTATATTTCATATACGAAATAAAAAATGTATTTTACCAACTATATTTAAATTTTTATTTTATGTATTATATCTAATGGTTTGTAATATAACACAAATTTTTAGGTTTTTGGTTTGATAGTTTTTAGGTTTTTGGTTTCATATTTCTTAATTTAATTAAAAATATACTAAAAATAAATATACAATTCTTAGGTAACTATTTTTTTTTTCAAAGTTACCGATTACACTTTTTATATCTGTAGTAACATAAAAATTACTCATATATAAGAATTAAAATATAAAAATAGTAACTACATATTTATATTATTTATTAATAAATATATTGAAGTCTTTTTACGTATTATATATAAGAATTAATTTCTTTAAGTTTATATTTTATTTCTTTATTTTGAATTTATCAAAAAATATAAAACATATTTATATTTTATATTTTTGGTTTTTTCATTCTATTTTTTATTTTCTATTTTTTTTATTTCTAGTTTTCGTAATTTTGACGTTTTTTAAGGGTTGAAGGGGTAAATTGAATGATTCGGTCGGGTTCAGGGGCTTATTTGACTCCCCTAAGTTTTCACGTCACATGCACAGTTGGCACCCTACCGGGTAACGTGGCGATGACCGGCTTGTGACTTGCTAAAAGTGAAATTTGAATCTGTTTATCGAGTTCAGGGTGCTAATTGGAGCTTTTTCGGGTTCATGGGGCAAATTGAGCAATCCGGAAAGGTAGAAAGACCTATTTGACCCTTTAGCCTTAGTTTTCAATGAGTTCAGAAGTATATTTACAAGTCTTCCGATATTGGGGCCTAATTGCATAATCAAAAATAGTTGGAGAGCTTACCCTTTTGCCTTAATATTATTACTTTACTCACTTATATTTAGATATCATAGCCTGTAACTCAGCTCATAAGCTTATGGGGAAAACAATTTAAATACTCCGAACTTTAATGACTTTACATAAAAAGTTATTTTCACATCATGATTGATGTTTTTTTACAAATAGAATTTTTATTGGAATAATTACATAATTTAAAATACTCCAAGCTTTTTCAGAATGTAGTTAACAATCTAAAATTTCATTTTTGAAATAAATAATATTACATCCGATACAATTTAATTTTAATTACACCCTCATAAATGTTTTGTGTATTTTAAATCATGTACTTGATACCATAAATTATATTTGTGACAAAATATATGTTCATGGTGCTAATATAACTTTTTATATAAAACATGGGGTATATAAATTAAATTATATTTGTGAAAATATATATGTTCATGGTGCTAATATAACTTTTTATGCAAAACTGGGGTATATATTACATATGTAAATTTGGTTACTAAGGCTAACCGCAACCCGCGTCCGTCAATAAATCAAATTTCCCACTACTTTATACGTATTCACACCGTCAATTCAATTTTTGCTGCAATCCAGCCACCGTCAATATATTATCTTCAAAGTTTATTCAATTAAAATCTTATTTTTATTATTATACATTATTTTTTTTCGATAATTTTTTGGGATAATTAAGATTGAAAAGAGTCAAACATTCCTATGTAAAAATAAATAATTTTGGAATTTAAACTTTTGTTTTTATTTCAGATCCATTTTGGAAAAAAGTGAAAATGTAAAAAGAATATATTAATCACGAGATCTTAATTTTAGCACTGGAATATATTAAGAAAAAAATTTAATCAAAATATCTCCAATAGTTAAGTTTTTTTCTAACTTTATATATATATACTACGTATATGATATTGGTGTCATATGAAAGATAAAAAAAAGTTATGAATTTTGATATAATTTTTGAAATAAAATAAATACAAATTAAAAAGTTATAACACTTTTAATAAAAAAGAAATATTTTGTTGTTGGGGTCTGCACTATCTCTCCACATCAGGACAACTCCCCCATTCTTTCTTCTGGCAAAGGGCGTGAATATGGGGTGCCAAATCCCCCCTCCCTTGGGTGCCATTTTACCCATTTGGCACCTCCAAATACATGGGATGGAGGGTTTTTAGGAGTCAATAGGTTAAATTTACGTTTTGACCTTTAGGGCTGCGGATAGCCTAATCTTACACTTTTTAAAGTTTGAGATATTTGACAAAGTTATTTATAGAAACCTACGGTCTCTCTCTATGGCAAGCCGCCGCTAGCGTTAGTGTTCCGTTTTCAATCCTCCGATCGAAGAATGATTCGTTTTTCTTGGTTAGTTTCCAGCAATCGTCATCACAAGGCTCGGCTAGGTGATTCTGGGACGGGTGTGAAGCTTCATCAGATCCAAGGTGCTTGGCGTGTCTGGTCTTCGGTTTCGCCCAAAGAAGAGGGGAGGGGAAGGCTCTAAGCGGGGGGTGTTTGCCGATGGATGATATTGTCAACAACTACAAGAAGATGGCTATTGGAGAGGTGGACAACGAGCTCGATTTTGATGTGGAAGAAACAGGGGAGATGGATGCTGCCGACGAGCAGGTGGTGTTCACAGTGGTCGGCGCTATGATTACGGACCGGAAGATAAATCTTCCGGTGTTCCAAGATCTGCTGGCCTCAGTTTGGCGCCCGGGTAAAGGAGTTGCAATCAGGGAAATTGAAGATAAAAGGTACCTTTTCAATTTCAATCATGTCTTGGATATGAATCATGTATTGGAGGATGAACCTTGGTTGTTTGAAAAAGATTTAATTCTCTTGAAAGCTGTTCATCCAGATGATATACCTGAAAAGAGGTTGAATGAGGCTGAGTTTTGGGTACAGATTCACAATGTTCCTTATAAATTTAGGAATCCGGATTCTGCTAGGAGAATTGGGAACTTTATTGGCTCGTTTATTAGTTTTGATAACAACCAATTTGGGGGTAATTGGAAATCGTACTTGAGAATTAGAGTTTGTATGGATGTAAGGAAACCCCTAAAGAAGGGTACTAATCTAAAGAAAGAATGAGTAAGACATTGGGTAGATTTCAAATATGAAAAATTACCCAATTTCTGCTTCATGTGTGGGGTGATTGGGCACCCGGATAAATTTTGCCCCTTGAAATATGAGGAGGGGATTGTACTAGAGAAATCTTTTGGGGTCGAACTTAGGGCAGGTGGTGGTGGGGTGAAGACGAGCCCAACATGGACTAACAAGTGGTTAATGGATGATTCCTTAAGCTCCGGGGGACTCGGGCAGTAGCGTAAGACTGATCTCGGGGCGAGTATTCGGCAGAAACAGGTGCTAGTGTATCAAAGCAGGGGACATGCAACATGGAAGAGATGTCAGGCGAGACAAAGTGCAGGAGGATTTGGAAAGATCAGTCAAAAGGTACTAAAGCTGGAGAGGGCATGTCGCTTGATGGGCCAAAAAATGGAGAGGTGGCGGGTCAGGACACCTAGGCCCGCCAGTGGTACACTTGGTGATTCTGGTCAGGAGAACGAGTGCTGGTTTTTATTTTCTGTTTTTTTTTGTTTTAGTTATTATTTCCACGGTCAGACTGTTATCCTTTGTTTTTGCTATTTCTTATGCTGTAAAACTCTTGCGTTAGATTTTAGGGATGAGAGGTCTACGGTAATCGTCGCTGTTTTAATTTGCTCAAGTTAGGTCTAGCGAGTTATATTGTTTTGTCAAAGGTGATTAACTCAGAGTCTCAATCAAGTGCGGATGGTTACATGTGGTTCTTTTGTTATCTTTCACCCAAACTGAATGATATTTTATCAATATAAGCCCTTTCAATATAAAAAAGTTTGAGATATTTAAATAATCTTTTTTCTTAAACTTATTAATATTACCACGATCTACTTTGTTTATGCGGAAAAGTTCACGCCAACGATAGCTTTTCTCGCTACACTTCTTACTAGACTAGAAATATGCATTCCCATAGAGAACTAATGTGGGCAAAGTTAATAATTAGTAATTACAATAATAAACCACCACCATGCATGGCACCATAGAGGTTACCTTGGGTGCATGATTCACATATTCAGCTACAATAAATAAAACGAGAGACTAGATCTCGAAAAATTATAAACACTAGATCTCGAAAAATTAGTGTTACCAAATGGACTCTAGATC